AGGCGGGGGAGGGAGGGGGAAGGTTGGCGGGATTTGTCTTTACTGCCAACACCCTTTCTAGTTCCCATCCCCCGTAAGTAAGTCTGTTGAGTCAGTCATAAGACAACCGGAATTAGTCTGGGACGCTTACAGTATTGCGTGTCGCCCCAGTTATTTAGGAAAAAGATGAAGGTATTACCGGAAGTGAAAAGGCGCATCCGGTTTAGCTCCCCGGTCAGGGACAGTTGCCGTGGGGTGTGGTCAGAACACTGCATCATGGATCCACAAATGAGAGCAGGATACGAAGGTGGGGAAAATGTGGAGCTGTGCACTCTGTTGATCGGGGCGTGTTTTTCAAAGAACCAGTTCATTACGGTGAAATGGTCTACCAGGTTAATTGATCAAGAGTGACACCGGAACATGAGTTCTTGGCGAGCATACAGGCACAAGTCTTCATCGACACCCTGCTCTCTATCCTTTGGTCACGAGCTCGAGGCTCGAGTGGGACACCAATTGGATGTGGGTAAGACTGGCTGACGACGGCTAATTAACCAGAAATGGCCACTCCAGTCTGCCTTGTCTTTGTCGGCAATACTATCTGCCTATAGAAACAGGTTCCTTTTTTTCCTTTGGAGCTCTTTCTAGAGCTTTTCTCATCGACAGCAGACTCACAATCTTCGCAAGTTCGTCCAGCGCTCTATCCCTGAACAACATGCGTCCCTTCACGCGCACGCACGCACCTGCACCTGTTTCTCCGCTCTCCTCTCCGTCCCCCTCTCCGCGTTTGTATCCGCGATGGCCGATGATTCATGCTCCCACATGCGACTCCATCACACATGTCCTTAGGCGACTCTGGTCAATACGCCCGGGGTGCCATCCTGTGTTGTTTTAGTCATCGCCACCGCCGCTGTGCCTACTTTTCACTTGAGTAGGCCTTCCCCAAGAAGAGGGGGGGATGGCGTGCGCGGGGAAGCTGAGATATCGTTGTCCTGTCCTGTAGTATCTGCAGAGGGAACTACATCGGCGGTCTGGTACTTTGTGGGTGTTCTACGCTCCCAGTTGACGTGCGCCTACAGTGCAAGCCTCGTCACTACTCAACCGTGTGTGTTTGTTTGTGTAAGGAGTAAGAGCGGAGGGGGGTGAGGTAGATTTGTGGCACTGTTAATAGGCCAGTACCCAACCAGCTGTGTTCAGACGGCAGTCTGTTTATCTAGTATATCCGCTCTGCGACCGGAAACTGCTTAGACTACTGAGGAGATAATGAAATCAGTGAGGAGGCAGAAGGAACTAATCCTTCATTCGCCCTTCCGGAAAAAAGTCTTAGATCTAGTGGTCCCTTCGCCGCATGCAAGTATCGCAACTTAGTCCCTCTTCGTGGCGACGGCACTAGGACAACATGAACAAGCTTAGTGATTTAGTGCATTGAATTTCTTGACAGTAAACTTTATTCGAGGTTCCGTAGGAGCACGTACTGATACGTGGAGTAGTACTCGCCGCTTTCTTCAACAGAGCGTTTTCTCGGCGCAAGTCCAACCGCAGCACACAGACCATAGTACTCCTTTCTTCCCCAAAAGCCCCGTTAAGTTTGCGACCACCGAACAGCTGTTGTGTGGGAACTGATGCTGGAAATGTGGCTATCTACCTATCTTGAATTCGAAGTTGTGTATACACGCTTCCTTCCGTACCCCTTAATGTTC